CTCTTTCCCCGTCATCTTTTCAGTGTATTTTTTAACTCTATCAGTTGTAAACCAATGCATTTCATATTTTCTTGCATGCTCTACTAAGAAGGATCCAAGAGTTTTGAAACCAAGATGCTGTTGTGTTTCCATAATAAAGGGGTCCAGTCTTTCAGAAATGATCAGTAGCTACGTGTCTGTCCCGGGGGGTTACAGAATCCCTGGTTATTTCACAGCTTCTCAGAGGGGTAAGGCTCCGTCGTAGATTCACTGTATTTGAGAAGGGGCTGAAGGGCCTGCAGCAAGAGCCTGGTGCTGGCCCCGGCGGTGCTGTGGTGGGGAATGAAAGCCAGGGACCTACCTTGGTGTCAAGGACGCCGACGCAGCGCACTCACAGCCAGGCCGTGTGACAGCCATCTGCACAGCAGCCTGTGAATCCATAACAGGGCTAAATAATGAATGCTTATAATAATATTACGTACATTATTATAATCATATTCAGCTGCCAATAGAGTTTAATACTTAGAGGAAAGTTTTGATGAGCAGCAAGTTTTCTTCACTGTCTTTTTAGGATTAAATCCTAAGATTCTTATGCAGGCACAGTTCTTAAAATTAGCACTTTGCATGTGCATCCTTGCCGGCAGGTCTCTGCCGTGACATTTAGTTCTTCATCTCGGGTTACGCTGCTTAGTAGATAATCCAGGTATTTTCACTCAGCAGAAGTTATTTATTTGTCATTTAACTTCAGAGAAAGAGGAGACTTTGTAGGAATCGGGAAGATAAGAACATTTTGATTCTTTGATTTGAGCTAGCTGAGGTCTGGAACGTGTAATTACATGCAAAATATTATTTAAATACTTTCTGTTTAAAAAGGATTAATTTTAAATTGTAAGGTTCAAGGTCATGATCAAGATATTCAGGAAATGTGCTGACTTCTATAGAATAAGAAATTTTTCATGTTGTATTATTTCTTGCCAAAAGTGATGTTCGTAAGACCTATTATTTGGATAATTACAATACTAGGATTGAGACTTGGGTGACTTTAATTTTAAGGATGTGATTTGCAGTACTGTGCTAAAGTTATAATTTTGGATGACAAAACTGAAATGGATTTTTATTAATCCACTCAAATTTTGAGGCCTTTAAACATTGCTAGGTCCATGTGATGATGTGATTGTACCTTCTGCCTGAAGTGGGCATGTCAGATGGGAGCAGTGTGGGCAAATACTTGTATAGGGAGGCTACTGGCCTCACCAGCTGTAGCCAACATGCCCTGAGTCTCTCTGACTTTCTGCACTGCTCAAGTTCCTGCTGTGATTTGATATAATGCATATCTCTCAGTTCAGGATATTTTTTTTTTTTTTTTACTGTTTCTCTTCCATGTTAGACTTTGCAAAGGCATTTGAGTTACTGGAACGAATGTGTTTCATGTACATGTTGCGTGAGGCAGTTTGATCCTGGAGCAAATCCATAGAACAGGGAATACAGGTATAAGTTTTATTCTCACCTCTTCTACTATGGTGCTGATGCGTCTGGGTTTCTCATTTCATCCCTGACAGCTCTCCTTCTCATCTTTGACTTCTTTATGTAGAGTATTAGTACTAATTGAACGCAGCTCCTGGAGCTGCTTTGATCCATAAAAGTAGTAAAAAGTTAATCTGCACAAGGTCTTTTACGGGGTTTAAAAACCTTAACTCTAGTGGTACGTAGAAAGGAGACGGTTTCATGTTGATGCCTTGAACTGTGCTCTCGCTTGTGTTGCAGCTCTGGTTGTGAGCACCGCGTCTGCTGGCTTTGCCATGGCCCCGGTCCCTTTCGACCTGACCTGTTTCCTGCTCGCCTCCCTCGGAACCGGACTGGCGTCCTGTGCGGCCAACTCCATCAATCAGGTCAGTCCATCTCTTCACCTGTACCGCAAACTGGTGTCGTCAGGCTTCTGAAATGCTGCCAAGGAGCGTACATGGATGGCTGGGAGCGCTGTGCCTTCAGCTGCCGTGCGAGCTCTGAGCCACTAAAACTGACACCGCGAAAGGAATATATGTCTGCGAATTAAAGTATAGTTGCTAGGCACAGTGTGTTTATTCAGAATGGAGTTGATGAGGTTTTAAGCCTCCCAATAATAATGTTTATCTTGGTAATACTAAGCCTGGGTCACTGCAAATGACATAGGAAGAACTGTGTAATTGGAGTATAAGAATAGCCATCGGGGCTTCAGCCTTACGGGCCTGGTTTCTCGGTTGCGTTATTGTATGACCTTGTCAGATCTGTCTAAAGAATGGCTCAGAGCACCTTTCTAAACGTCTGTAGTGGGACTTCGGTGGGGTTTGTGTGCTTCTGTTCAGGCTGGAGTCAGGGAATCCCAGACATCTATGAAACATACCGTAAGCCTCCGTCATGGGGTAGCTGTTTCGTGCCGGAGATGTTCCAGGTGCCTGAACTTCAGCTTCCTTACATGTGTGAACGTGCCCGTGGAGCTTAATGCTGATCTCTCAGCTCTCTTGCAGTCCAGCTGTGAAGCAAAGTTGTTGTTAAGCTCTTCCTAAATTCCAAAGGAGAACCTAACTAGTGAACAGGTAACACCACTTGTGGTGTTGAACGGAGTTAGAAAGCATAGTAGCCACGGTCACTTTCAGTTGTAAATATGGCTTGGAGAAAGAAGTGGCAGAGGCAGTGCCACCTTCGATAGCACTTTATGGTTTCAGCAATCACTTCGGAGATGGGGGGCCGAGTCCTGGGACCCTGCTAATGGAACAGGGCATGGAGGCTTCCTGTGAGCTACATCCTGGGGTCACCTCGATTGAGTTGGGCTCTTTTGCTTTTACACCTTGTAACACCTGAGTTGTACGCACCCGATGTGTTCTTTGAGATGGCACCCATAAGCATGCATCTCGCTCAGACTGAAGTAAGGACAGGTTTTACTGTTAGTTTTCACTGAGCTTAAAATTGGGGTAGGCAGCTAACTTTGTGTCTGTTTTCTCTGCAAAATAGGAAGGATGCTGCATGATTTTTAGTTGCTTGGAAATATTTAGGTAGCCTACTTAACTTGAAAACACTTAGGTAGCCTTGAAAAATCATTTTAAGAAAGTCACACTATTTTCTGAAGTATACGTTTGATTATCATTTACATAGTTTTTACATAAAGTCTGGGTGGAAAAGCTGTTGTAACTAAGGTGAAGCTTTCTTGGGTTTGATACAATTTGAGAGATGTGCTTTTTTTCCTCCCTTTTCTCCTTTACTACATTTTTTTTAATATTAAAAATTCATTTTGTGACTTGTCAATTCTTTGAAATATTTACTGTCATATTTACTTTCACCTTTGATGTGGATACTACTGGACTAAGAGGAGAATTAATTATTTCTTGTTTAGAGACTTCTGTGCAACTTGTCTCTCTTGAGATTTTGATAGATCTTCCTGGAGATGATATTCACGCACAGATAACTGGTTTTCTTTGTCTTCAGCTTCCACGTGTTGCTCAGTGTTGTATTTTGTCTCAAAAATAGCTGCTGCTTAAACTCCTGGAAGTCACTTTTTAAAACCTTGCTTTTTAAAATCTTGAGATACATGGGAGTACCAGGGATCCTGCGCCAGAATTTGGAGTTTGACACTCTTGAGGCTTTCTGGGATGGGAAAGGAAAGTTAGGAGTGCAGTAACTTTGTGCTTGGACTCGATTTACTCGATTTTAAATTCCCGATTTACTCACTGCTGTCTCACCATAGGAGCAGCTGGTAATAGGCCCTTAAATAGAGAAGCTTACTCCAGCCTCCCAAAGTGTAATACCGTCTTTCAGAATCTCAGCTGAATGCTTTAAGTTTGCACTCTCGCTTGCGTTGAGCCACTTGCCTATGTAGATAGACCTTCAAGGCAACTACTCTTACTAAGGAAAATAAAGAAGCAGAGCTGGTAACAAAGCAAAAGAAAAGAGCTGTGGTCCGTGACCTTGTTTATCAATGGATCCTTTCAGTCGACGATGTCCCTTTCCCGGGGTTGCTGTTGGTGCAGTGTCTGAATTGGCTGGGAATTTAATTTTCGATAAATACTGTAAGCTTGGGTATCCATCTCGACCTTTGGGAAGGAGCACATTTGACTTGGAACTTCCTTTATTGCTACTTTGCTCTGGCCATTGCTCCCCATACGCATCCTCTTCTCTGGCAGCTCATGACTCATGGTTCCCTTGTTGCTCCTTGCTGTCCCTTAAGGACCTTTTTATATGATAACCGTCTTTCCGCTTCCCATATTGCTATAAATCTGTACATCTTTAAGGGCAACTCGTCTTTCCCACTCCTCATTTCCCTGATAAATCTGTGTTCAGGATTTACAGACCTCGACTGTGTCGTGGGAAGGTAAAGTGTCAATTGTGTAAGATTCTTCCTCGTGATTTAGGACAGGATGTGAGGAGCCTGATCCTGTGAAACTGCAACGGAGATCCCGTAACACTCGGGGAAGTATTGACACAAACTTTTAACTGTTCAAATTCTGTGGTTTAGGTTTTTTTTTTTTTTTCCTTCTCTCGACCACTTCATTTTAGCAATCTGGTAGGAGCTGAGGCCAGTTTACCCCCATTGAATTAAGTTGAATTAACTATTGAAGCTGAATTAACTACTGGGGAGGGAGTCTGGGCTATGCTGAGTAACGCACAGAGACCAAGAAGTCATGTTTTATTTCTTTACGAAGTTGGTCTAAAATAATCTTTTAATTATCGCTTGCTTTCTTGATTTCAGGTGGCTGTATGTCATACTTTAAACAATTTTTTCCTAACCACAAGAGCCAGAAAGTTACAAAAATTTGCCAGAGTGGAGGTTCTTGCCCTCACTTTCACTGTCTTAACAGGAAAGCAAAATATAAAAAAATCATGGGAGTTGGCAACATTGTATTTTTCCATTGTTTATAGAAATACGATCCGGATATTTATCAACCAAAGGCATGTATTTACAAACAAGTTTCACAGCCTGTAAATTCTGAATTCTAGCTGTACTTTCTGATGCAAGTAGAAAGAATGGATTTTTATGACAATTCTGTGAAATTGGATAATTATTTTTAAGAAGTTGATGACTTTTTTTTTTGAGAAATAACAGTGAAAAAGCTGTGTTTGAAAATATCCTGGAAAATAGAGATAAAAAGTACGTGAGTGTGGGCTTGCATTAGGTGGAAATGTGGTGCATGTTCTACAGAAAGGTTATTCTAGAAACACTTGTGTAGAAAACGTCAAGAAAAGTGTCTTGGAATAATTTATGTTAGACAGTAGTTTGAGAGAAACAGAATTTCTCAGGCTGGTTGAAAATGTTATGAATTCTGGGGATCTGGATAAATATTGGAGGGTCCTTGGGTTTTCCTGTAGCGTGTGTTGGGTCTGTGGGCTGTGAGGGAGTAAACTCCTGCTGGAAGGTGCCAAAGAAAAGATCGTGTTTTATTTCTCTTGTCCTCTACCAGCAGTTCTGCCTCTGCCTCACTCCTTCGTATCACAATACTTCAGAGTTGTACTTCGCACCTCATCTAGCATTTTAGTGGCACGCTAATCCAGTGGTCCCTGGTTCTCTTCCACATCACGCAACACCACGTTATATCCTTCAGCCCTTCAGTATTGTACTACAACATGTCACCACTTTTCAGTCCCACCTGCTAAAACTGCTTTCCTCTTTTTTTTCCCCTCTTTTTCTAATGGTGCTCTTTCTTTTTTCCATCATTGAAGTAACTTAAAATTATTTTGGACAGGTGTTCTTTATTGGTGTTCTCTCTTTTCAAAATAATCAATATTTTACAGTGGTTTTTAATTAAAAAAAAAATCACTTAATGCATTTACCAAGGAATAGACATTTTTACTGTAACATTACTAAGCCAGGCCAAAACCACCAGAAAATCTCATTATAAGAGATCAGTCTTATTAATTGCAGTTATGGTAAGGAAATGGGAATGTGTTCTGGGGTTTCATCTTGCAAACACTGCATGTTAATCTTGAATAAAGCAAATAATTATTCCTAGCATATCACTTCTTTATACTGTCCACTTGCCTGACTCTTTCAGCGTTGTTATATTGGTATGGATGCACAAGAAGGTATTTTACCTTAGTGTTGTTCCTTACAAGTGACAAAAAAGAATAATCAAAACATTGGTTTTCTGGTTGGTGGAGACCAATTTTGTAACTTTTTTTTTTCCCATCCTGTACTCATGCTGCCATAGAAATGGAGTGGGAGAAAATGATATTAAGCTACTTGATAATCTTTTGCTTTTTCGTAGCTCTGGTTTTTGATGATTTTTTTGAAAGCTGACTCAAGTTTCAAGGAGTGGAGTCTTACATTTATATTATGGAGAAAACATGTCATTTTTTGAGACTTCTAAGATACTAGCCTCTGATTTATGGCGAAGGAGATAAAACATGAAGAGATGTTTACAACACAATACACGGCATTAAAATGTTAAAGGAATCACATGCACGTTTTATATGTCAAGTACATTCTTCTGTAACTGCAGCACGGTTAAGACGTGGGAGAGAGCTATAAAGATGAAAGCAGGATGTTTAAAATGGTTTGAATTTAGTAACCGAGAGATAAAATGATTTGGTTGGATTTGACTGATGGTACCTTGAAAAGGAAGCAGACTGGACTGAATATCTTAGCTGAAGTTAGAGAGCTGAAATAAGAAATATAGTAAATACGCTAACCAGAATGAGAGAACAAATGTAAGACCAGTTAACATCCCCGTCCCTTCAGGGTCTGATCTGATGGCTGCGGTTTGCTCTTAATGTCGTCCTCTCTTGACAGCAACGATCCCTCAGAAGTGCAGCTGTAATGGGTGGGAAGCATGGGTTTGGTGTTAAAATAACGGGGTGAAATGCAGGATCCGAGTTCAGTTGCCAGCCCGTGAACCCTGTGTGTGATCTTTTGTGTTAAGAC